TTTCAGCACATTGCCTTTGCCTTTCTTAATTCACTTAAGTTCATTTTACTTGCTCAAAGAAAGATATAGAGTATATATAAAAGTATTGTATTAGTTAATAACGAAGATTTGATTTTAAATAAGTGATGATAGGAGAAGGAGAAATCTATCATGATTTAAAAGAATATATAACGTTATTTGATTTTAAATAAGTGATAGGAGAAGGAGAATCTATCATGATTTAAAAAAATATATAATTAAAAATTGATTGGTAGGATGGTTCTAACCTCATTTTATTTATTTGTTTTATGTTACTTAACTAATGTTAATATATTATTTAACCATTTTATTTCTTTTAATACTTTATATGTGTTATTTGTGTGTCACTTAATTCATTCTAACATGTTGATTTTTGTTTACAAATACTTTATTCAAAATCTTGTTTCTAATTATCTAAAATGATGTCAAGTTCTTTTAGATTATTATTTTTAAATAATATTATATTATAATTGGTTTCTTTTTGTTGTATTTTTTTTCTGTAACTTATACTGAAGTATAGGTTTTGATTAACAACAACAGTAATAATTAATATAGTAATAAATATTATTAATTTTTTAAAATTTATTATGATTAGTAAATTATTATAACGATATTTGATATTAATTAATATGATCATTAATAAAATTTAAATTTCTTTGTAATCAAAGGTTTAATGTTGAAAATTTAAATAAATATATATATGATTAAGGTGAGATATCATTATATTAGTAAAACTTTGATATAACTTATTTATCTCGATTAATCACTATAAATTTATAATTAAAATGTTTCCATAAAATATAATTAAAATCCGTAATTTATATATATATATATATTTTTTTTTCTTTTTTGTGTATTATTTTTATTTACTTGATTGATATGATGCATGTTCTCATTCCTTTTATATTTCTTATTTTCTTTATTTTTTTCTTTTGAAAAAATATAATTATTAATCAATTAAATAGGTAAATTCATCCTATATATAATGACCCTTTCACCGCATTGATACATGAGGACTGTAGTGGACATGATAGATATATAAAACAACACCCCATCACTTCTAGAGGACAAAGTTTTTCAATAATAATACTTTCAGAAAATTTAACATTAATTATCTTCGGTCAGAAATTGAGTCACGCTACATCAGAAATTAAATTATTCTGAGTCATTTTTTGAGTCACGCATCATTTTTTTAACCGGTCTCAGTCAGTCAGTCAGAAATTGAGCCTCGCTCACAAAGATGCGGGATATTACAAAAGCGTATTTGGAAACATCTGTAAGAATGCAGTGGTCACTGTGCCCAGATATTTCAATGACTCCCAGCGCAAAGTCACAATAGACGCTGGTGCCATTGCTGGCCTTAATGTTATGCAGATAATCATTGAGCCCATTGCTGCAGCTATTGCATATGGCCTTGATAAGAGGACCGAACATTTTCATCTTTAACCTTGGCGGTGGTACTTTTGATGTGCCACTCCTCACAATTAAGGGGGTAAGGTCTTACAAGTTAAGGTCACTGCTGGAAACACTCACCTCGGAGGATAAGGTCATTTGCTTGTGACGGATTGTCCTTACTAGAAGACTTTTGGTAAATCATACCCATTAGTATTCTATTAGAATCTGTCTTTATTAGTGGATAGCTCCGGTTAAAGGTACGTAACGTCACCTAATTCTTCTTTTCTTATTATGCTTTTTATCCGATAAACAATAGCAAAGCAAGTGACATGTTGTTCTTAATTACTAGAAGACTTGATAAACCCATCTGTTCTTATTAGAAGACTTTTGATAAACCATATCTTACTTGAAGATCTTATTCTATATGCTGTCCCTTGACGTATGCCCTCATCTTCTTCATATTTTGTTAAGTACAAATCATTCCAAAATTGAATAGTTAATAAACAACGCATTTTTAAATAAAATGAAAAAAGTAATTTAACCTATTAATATTATTATCAACTCAAATAGGATACAATAATATAATTAACACCAGTACCTTACTCACTAATTTTCTAAGCTGAAATATGGTCTATATATATGGCACTCAATTAATCGACTTGTATAGAAATGAAAATGGCTACTATTCCAATTGGCACAGGGAGAAACTGGCTACGATATTTTGAGTATGAAGAAAGAAGAGACACACCAAATGAAACAAGAAACATTCTTCTGATAATTTTCACTTTGATTGGTGCAGTGACATTTCAGGCTGGAGTGAATCCTCCTGGTGGAGTTTGGCAAGAGAGTAAGGAAGGAAAAGAAGCAGGAAGTGCAATATATGCTTCAAATAAAGAAGCTTACTATGTTTTTCTCATCTTCAACACTTTGGCTTTCTCTAACTCCATCTTTGTCATCTTGTCACTCACATACAAGTTTCCTTTCCATTGGCCTGCCCCTCTTTCCATGGCTGTGACTTATGGATCAGCCATTTTTGGTGTCTCTCCCAAGAAATCTATCAGTTTTCGATATGTTCTTATCACTGCTGCGGGGCCATTTGTTGTGAGGATTCTTGTTCTTATCTTCAACGTGTTCTTGAGGCAATATTTCGTTAAGAAACCCACCAATAACTCAACCTGAGCAGTTCGTGTTTAATTTGATCTTATGCAACTCTAGCCAGAACTTAGTTTTGGACAAATATGTCCTAAACTTACTAGCTCGTTCTAGGAAATTTATTTTGAAAATTATTACATTTGGAATTACTTTAGAGAGATATATTGATTCTAATTTGTAGCAAATTGCATTCGACTTGAATGAATTACTCTGGTCTTTGTTACTAGTACTTTTATATTTTGAGCTTACGCCATACTGCTAGTATAGTACTTATAAGAACCTGTGCAAATTGCAATTAGTTCACAATCTAAAACAGTTACTACGTAGCATAACAACCTTAATTGAAAAGTTATACATATTGAAAAATTATACATCAAAATTTATGTCTCTCTCTTCTTATATATTAAATAACTGAGGCATATGTAACTTTTAATTATGAAAAGAAAGATAAAAATAAAATATAATTTTGTGATGTTAATTAAACTTAGAAAATTCATTCTTACTTGAGATTGAAATTTTGTTTTATCTATATATCTGAGGTTAAAAGAAAATTACTTTTACGAATTTTACGAATAATGACATTTTTCCGTTTTAAATAAAAATAGAATATATATATATATATATATAGGCATGACAATCTAACCCGCCTCCGTGGGTGCCCGTCCGAACCCGCCCCGATTTGGACGGAGAATTTATCGAGTTTGAATTCAGGTTTTTCCTGATTGATAAAATAAGGGACGGGGGCGGGGACGAGAATGTTAATACTCGCTCCACCCTTGCCCCCATACCTGACCCCGCCCCGTCCCGCTTAATAATATAAAAAAATTATTTATATATATATATATATAAAATAAAATTAAAAATATTTATATATAAAA